TTTTGATGCTTTCAAAGTTTTAGCTTCAAAAATAAATCAAACATCTGGATTTTCCTTCTTTGTTACTGTTATGCTCGACAGTTTTAGATTTTTAACCCCAGACTTGAAATAAAGTTTCCACTTCTACTGTTTGTGTTTTGTCCTCGTTTTTCCGTTTTCAGCATCAGCAGCAGCGACTTTAAGTGTTGCGAGCCCCATGTGTCTGAGGATTTGTGACGCTGATGAAACCGTCTGCGCCGACTGACAGCATTTACTGTCCCTGGCAGATTGGTTCTTGACTGTCGGGATTAAAAAGAGGGAAGAAAGCCGAGTGTATTCCTGGCTGTCTCCAGGAGAGCAGCCACCCTGTGAGAGGCGTGCTAGCATGTTTCTTTCGAGCTCCTCTGTGATTCAGTTCCCAAACTGTCGTCGCGTGGCGATCGGCGCTGCTAACGCGCTAATGTCGTGTTCCTCAGAAACCTTTTCAGATCAGAAAGGCGAAGCTTGGCAGGTGCTGCACACGCTTTCACCCACAAATCCAGCGCTTGTCTGAAGAGAATAATCATCTGTGATGCTGAGAACGAAGGGTGTTATTAGAAAAGCTTTTTTCCACCTACGTTCAGATGAATACATGAATTGTTTTGGAACAAACCGACTCAGTGAGAAACGTTTACCTGCCGGAGTAGCTGCACCCACAGCGACACCCAGCCTGCTCTCTCGCCTCACCTCAAAAGGCTGCTTTCATTATTTGGGTCTTAATAATTTGCGTGTCTCTGCCTCTTTGGATGCAGTTCTGGATGTCTGCAGTGGCCACCACCATGCCGATCCCGTCTGGAGCCTTCATGCCCGTATTCATACTCGGTGAGTGACGACATCATTTCATCAGTAGCATGTCTGCAGGTCTTTAAGTTCACTGAGAAACCACTTTTATATGATCGGTGTTACAACCCAGGTGTCATGGGGGCCTGCGGTCTAGGGAAGCCCAAAGTGATCTGCCACTTCCAGCAGATCACGCCTGCGACTGGCACTAATCAGTCCACGAGATGGGGCCCCCACAAACTGCGCTAAATCAAAAGTAGCCATAATTGTCGAAACACTGAAAAACACAAATAATCATGCATCCAACCCTAAGATAAGGTTACTTAATATCCCAGACAAGCCCCCATATGTTACAACCCAGGTGTCTAGGGGGTCTGGGGTAACATGGAGGACGCGTGACACAAATGATAATTAACAAAAGGTTTTATTTTCTTCTCTTTTTTGTTGTTGTTTATTCGAGTGGCAAAAGCAAATGATAGAACAGAAACGGGTCTTTGCCCCAATGATATCCAAAATTAACACAAAAGAACTCAGATTCCCAAAAGTTAATACAGAAAATACTAATTACCCTAGAGCTCAAAAAAACCTCAGAATGTAATAGATGTATTTTTACCCATACTCTTCTCATTACTCATATCAAAGTCTTTAGTCCCAAAGCCTGATTCCTGCTGCTCTGTCTGCGTCAGCGCGGAGACACGCAACGCCATTATCCATCCTTGCGTAGGGCCCCGGCAGGCACGCAAGTACGTACGGAGTCAAGCCCACTTTTTTAAACATTCATCGAACGAGACGGAGAACGTAAGCTTGGGATTGGTCAGGGCACCGTTGTCGTCTACACCGCCGCCATTGCGCCATCAAAAACATAAAGAGAGTCGAGGATAACTAGCGGCAGACACGGAGAAGCTTGAAGAACACCTCGCGAAAAACTCTAAAATATGAACGTTTAATTCCCCGTGACTGGATGAGTGAAAAGATGCGCAGCAAGCGTTTTATTTGTGGACGGAAATGACAGGAAACGTGGGTTTAGAGGTGGCGAGCGCATGAAGAGGTGGAGGAGGATGAGTGTGTTAAAAAGTCTCTTATATACAAAAATACACAATATAAACACACCATCTTGGACCGATACATGACAGGATACCACAGAACAGCGCTACACCCTCTGTTGTCCTGGCGGGGAATTGCTCCCCAGGAGACGGAGAAGCATGAGAGCAAAACACTTCCGTCAATCCGTGCGTGTCTGTCCCTTGCGGAGCTGATGGAGAAGCATGAATCAGGCTTAAGTCCCAAGTGGGAGACAACAGACCAGAGGAAAGACATGCACTGTTGTCCCCCTTGGTGAGCGGCTGATGAAAACCCGGTACAGCTGGTGCAGGGAGGAGCAAGGGTGAGCAGACAGGCCTAGTCTGCAGGCATGCTCCTCAGATGCAGCATCAATGAGGGATAAAAATGCACAGAAAAATGAAAACAACGCAAAAGGATTCAGCCGTAACAATCGGTCACTCTGACTGTAACATGCAAGCAGAATGGGAAGGAAACCTTCTACTTCACGCATTAGCCGTCGACAGAAAATAGACGGGGAAACAGTCGGATTAGAAAAGTCAGTCAGATCTACGTCACACTGCAAATTAACATTCATGGACTCACCCATGTCAGCTCAGAACGGAGACGGCTGTTGTTGGTTTAGCACCCAGGAAACTGCAATCAGCTACTAGAAGCTAATGTTAGCATTAGCAGCTCCGCAACTCCAGGCTTGTGTTATTTGTGGAGATAAAACCTCGACGGAGTCAGTGGAAGAGTAGTGTTGCTGTCAGCCAATCAGAGTAGAGGTGTCCGAATATCAGGAAATAAGTCCAGATCCTGCCGTTGTCTGCTCACCACTCCTCTGGTTCACTTCTAGTTCCTGAAACAGGAGCGCCAGAGCTTTCATCCTACACTGATCGACTCACAAGGCTCTCATTTATACCAGAGACCACTGCAGGTGTGTTGAATAAACGAGTGAACTTGGTTTTTAAAATTGAAATCCAGAGTCCAGCGGCCTTAAAAATACCACAGACCCAATAAACAACATTACTTTGTCTTATCTGGAAATTTCTTTGAAGAATTTTGAGTATTTCTAATTAGTGTTTTGTATTTTTACACATGAGACGTAAGCAGAAGCACCAACATGTATTCAGGTGTGTGTGAGGGGGCTTTATGCAGGTTGCACATTAGCTGCATTAGCTAGTGGGCGCATGAGCCATGAGAAAGTGCACGTTTAGAGGTACAGCATTGTTTGTTTTTGGGAAAATGCATCCACTTTCATCCTCTGCAGAGCAATTATCTTGATTTTGTGTCATTTTTCAGCACTTTCTGTTCCAATAAAGGTTTGGGCAGAGCTAATGGTTACAAATGATCCTCTGGCTAGAAAACCTCTACTAAACAACGGTTGCATTGCCCTTACATGTGACATTGTCTTTTTGTGCTGTCCTTTTATATCCTTTTATTCTGAGAAGGTAAAGTCTCACGTTTTTATCAAAGTGGCTTTGGCTTTAACAAAGGTTGTAAAAATTCTTCAATTTCATTAATAAACATATTAAACACGAAAGATTCTTGAATTTGCTTTCCTAAATCCTGCAGGCTCCCTGAGCACAAAAGAAGAAAAAAAAAGTAGATAAAGCAAGAAAATCCTAATTTGGCCTCTTTTTCGTGTCATTTTGCAGAGGATTTTTTTAATCCTTCACAATAAGAGTCTCCAACTTTCAAATGTACCTCAAATCTAGGGCTCGACCGATATGCTTTTTTTGGGACCGATACCGATACGATATAAAACTTTTAACAAAGGCCGATAGCCGATAAATCTCCCTCACAAAAACAGAAATAAAAATTTTCTCTCCATGCTCAGCCTTTTTGATGCAAACTTATTTCTCTCTTACACACCAGAGAACTGTCTCAGTAACTCACTCGGGTTCCCAAGTAATGCAAATAAGATTTATTTAGCAGATCTCAAAAACAACAGAACTCTAACATTCAAGTTTTTTCTTGTAAACTGTGGTTTCCACAAATACATTTTAACTTAAAGGAATATTCCAGCACTCAGTAAAATTCTGTCAATCAACTTTATTTATACATCACTTAATCCCACAATGCATGCGACTCAAAGTGCTTAACAAATTAAAAAGGCCCCGCATACCCACATTCCCTCCCATCTCCAGAATTTTAAAAACAGTCTGACAATAAAAAACCTCTTCACTACACTCCTCCACCGACACACACACACACACACACACACACACACACGCACACGCACACGCACACACACACACACACACACACACACACACACACACACACACACACACACACATGCCCCCTTCCCATGGTAAAAAGACAAAAGAAAAACATGATTGGCTGAGATCAGATGAGCCAGACCAGCTAAGATAAGGAAACGCCATCAGGGGAGCCATCCGCCCCGACAGCAGCAGATCCACAGCAGCAGCCGACACCGGGCGCCCAGGGCGGGGAGTGCAGAGACCCCCACCACCACCCAGGCACACCTGGAAAGCACCCAGGCCGCCACAGCCGACCACCGCCGCCGGGGCAGAGGGCTCCCACAGAGGAAACACTGGAAAAAGGTTAAATTAAGGTTAAAATATAAAATCCAAAGAGCTAAAATGAGAATTGTAATCTAAAAAGTTATATAGATATTATAATAATGTTGATCATAAATCAAGGTAAAAAACTGTTTAAAAAGCACGTATAAAGAAAGAATACATTAAATCAATAAAATAAATCGATAAAATAAATAAATAAACTAAGTAATTAATTAATTTAAAAAGTGAGAGTATCCGGTTAAAAGCTAAGCTAAAAAGACGTGTCTTGAGCCTGTTTCTAAAAACATGAACATTCTCAGTGTCTTGTTAAGATTCCCCAGAGTTAGACAAGTCAGAAAAAGCATTTTATAGCCAGCCCAACATGATCTGGTAGCAGTTGGTTTTCTTAGTTTAGCATAAAACAATGTAAGTGAATTCACACACATTGTAGTGTTTTTCTATGTAGGTGAATGCAAGCCTTCCCTTCCATTGCTTTATGCTAAAACATCTGGTTACAACATGTTTTTCCTGACTTGGCTAACTCTGGGAAATCTAACAACACACACGTTTAGGGACAGAAGATCCCTATAAGAACATTAAAATAATAAAAATGCAGCAATAAATAAAACGTAACACTTGTGCTTTGTAACAAAGTAACACTCTGGAGGTTAACTTGGTGAACTTATTCACCCTGGACAGGAAATAATTGCACATAAGAAACGTAAATAAGAATAAGGTTAAAAAAAGTTCCAAAACAATAATTTGTGTTTAAAGTTCAAAGGAGCGGAGCCACACAACGAGTTCATAAAGCTGGCGCCATCTGCTGGATAGGTACCGCAATATCGGCCATATCGGCTGTCTTTTTGGCCGATACTGTTAATGACCCCGATATCGGCCGATAATATCGTCCGGCCGATATATCGGCCGGGCCCTACTCAAAACACCTAGAACTTATAGAAATCAGTAATGAATACTTTCTTGAGTTTGAGATTTTGGTAAAAACAGTAATAATAAATTACTCTTATGAGCTTCAGATGTTTTGAGTTGTGTTTGGAACTCTTATTGTGAAGGATCATAACCGGCTGCTGCTTTAGAGCTTCCTACGTGTAAAATACATCACTATTTATATTTTATTCTGTAAAAACACACCTGGAACCCTCGGCTGAATTAGTTATAATATTCAGAATGAACACATTTGGCTGCAGGAGCAAAACTGGGTCCCAAAGACGTTGAGATCAGGAGCGTCTAGGAACTCCTACTAGAAATAAAACAAGATGCAAATGTTTAATTTGAGAGGCAGAAGAGAAGTAAAGCAGCAGATCTGACATAACTATGTTTCTGCTCTGCAGAAGTCACTCAGACATGCCCAGGTTTTTATCATCGTTATTGAATCCACGCTACATTTCCAGGCCATGTGACACGAGCTCTTTGCTCTCTCCACATTCCGACTGAATAAAAGATTTCAAATAGATCAGAAGGTTTTTTGTGGAGAGATTGCTCGTGGGTGAAACCTGTTACTTGGCCATCGTGTCTGAAGTGGAGACCTTTGAAGTGGTAATTCCTCAACGCTGGAATGACTTCACTTCCTTGGCTGCAGCAGGATCTGATCTGGTGCATGACCCCGTTTAAGGGCAGGCGGAAACTTCTCTGTGCTGTCTTCACGAACAGGTTCATGAGGACTTCCAGAGATGATTTGCTGGTTTAAATGTTGATTTTGTTGCAGGAGCTGCGTTTGGACGGATGGTGGGAGAAATCATGGCCACTTTGTTTCCTCATGGGATTGTCTTCGACGGCATCCTGTACCGCATCATCCCAGGAGGATACGCAGTCATCGGTTAGTCTTCTCCTTTCTCCTCATTCATCCCTGATCACTTGGAACATTCCATCCCTTCTCTAAACTTCCTGTTTCATTAGAACACGTCAAGTGTCCTCTTCCTTATTGTCAGCTGTCACTTTTCTTCCACCTCTTGTCACACTCTCCATCCCTCCACTGTCACCTCGTCACAATCCTCCGTGATTCTCCAGCTCTGGTGGTTTGCCATCGCCCTCCTCTCCATCAGGACGTGCGGTCTCCTTGCTGTGACAGTTAAATGTCACCGTGGGTTTGCTCTGCTGTCCCCCTCAGCCGCTGACCCAGAAATCTCTCCTGCCGCCCCACAAAGGTCATTCCCCGTTTCCCTCCTTTCACCCTCTCTTTAATGCAGTCCTAAAATATTCTTTATAGACTAACTTCTGTTTATTTTGTACTAAACGTCTGCGGGATCGTTGTCGATTCTTTCTTCTTACATTTTCTCCACCATCAGCGACTCTTTTTCCTTCCAAAACGTTGTTGTTTTTCTACCTTTTTGATTTTGTTTCTGTGGATCTGTGTCTGGGCTGTTGTTGCACGTGATGTTTTATTCTCTTTTATTTGTGTCTCATTTCTTTGTCCAGGAGGTTTTCTAAGGGGTTTAGGGTGCACTGAAATGCTGTAACATGGGTGTTGAGGACTTTTACGCTGCCTCTCTAGGGGGCGCTGTTACGTCCCCGACAGGAGATGTTATAATGTGAAGGATGGGATAACATAAGAAATGCGACAGTGGAGTTAAAATGGGTTTAATTGCTCTTCCTGGGGTGCTCCCGAGAAGGTGACAAGATCACCAACACTATAAAAGAAAACAAACAGGTCTCTCCCTAAAGAGCGAGAGCCTCTGAGCCTGCCTGCGGGGGTCATCTCTGGATCCAAAACTTTCCTCTCCTCATACTGGGCTGGATCAGGCTCGTAGGTTCCTGAGAGCCCATCCAGTAGTGGATCCTCTGGCGGGGACGGGGCCTCCAGAAGCACCCGCCAGTCATCCACAAAGCCATCTGTTGCTTAAAACCTTCAAAACAAATAAAACACCATTAAAATACCACCACCAGGGATTGTACATTCCTTCACAGTCTGCTGTTAGAAAATCCCGGACGAGCCCCCATTTATGTTACGTCCCCGACAGGAGATGTTAAAATGTGAAGGAGGGGGTAACATAAGAAATGCGACAGTGGAGTTAAAATGGGTTTAATTGTTATAAACGGTTTTAAAAACAAGAGCAAACAGATAGCGAGCATTATTAAAATAATGCGAAATGAAAAATTCCCTACAAGGTTAACAGTTAAAAGACAAATCATCAACTTTATAAAACACCAGGTTAAAACTTTTATATTAAAAGGTTTACCAAACTGAAGGTGTTTTAAAAACACAACGAAGTTGATAAAAGTCTAAAAGCTAAATCTGAGTTAACTTTAAAACACAGTCAACACTATGTGACATGCACAAAAGATCCATGTGCATCACTCAGAGTTAAAACTATTAAAGTTAAAACTCATCACAAACGAAGGGGTTAAAACCAAAACGAGGCCCGGAGGACAGCAGAACCCCTGCACTGCTGCCTCCCAGACTGCTGAAGGCTCAGCCTTTTTATCCAGGTGTGGGTCATCAGCGGGATTCGGCTCAGCTGTGCTCCTCAGCAGCCTGGAGGAGAGGAGGAGGAGGGGCGGTGTCAGGCTGATCACCGGGGCTGGGTGATCTTGGCTCCTGCATCTCACTGGTGGCCAGGCTGGTAGCCGTAGCAGGCGCTCATCCCCACGGCTCTAGCACGGGGCACCACTGTTTGTTATCATTTCATTTTTTTTAACCTCTCCCCTCTGCCAGTCAAATGATGCTCTAAAAATCTCCTCCACTCCTTTCTAACTCTTCTGGCTCCTGTTTTCGCCCCACCCCGGGTCTCCCAACAGGAGCGGCGGCGCTGACCGGAGCTGTGACTCACACAGTGTCCACGGCCGTTATCTGCTTCGAGCTGACGGGCCAGATCTCCCACATCCTGCCCATGATGGTGGCAGTAATCCTGGCCAACATAGTGGCCCAGGGCCTGCAGCCCTCCCTGTACGACTCCATCATCCAGGTCAAGAAGCTGCCGTACCTGCCAGAGCTCGGCTTTGGACACACAAGGTTGGCACCAGTAGCAGACGTTCACTGACTGAACCCACGGCCTTGTAATGACAAAGACACACAACACACTAAATCACTTCTGAAACGTTCAGCAGATCAAATGAAAACTGGTTTCCAGCCAAGCGTCAGGTCATTCGGGTGAAGAGTAATTTTCTCTGTGAAGGAGTGGGTTCATTCAAAGCACATTTTGTGTGTATTTCTTATCTGTAACAGTGCAGATGTGTGCGTATCTGTCCACAGCCAGTACAACATCGTTGTGGAGGACATCATGGTGCGAAAAGTCACGTTTATTTCCTCCCAGTCTACCTACAGAGAGGTCAAACACCTCCTGGACTCGTCCTCGCTTAAATCGATCCCGTTGGTCGACTCAAAAGGTAAAAGAGTGGATAATGATGTCATTCGGACATTTAAGATGAGATTCTGTTCCTTTCTATCTTTCTTCCAGACTCCATGATCCTGTTGGGCAGCGTGGACCGCGTGGAGCTTCTGGCTCTCTGTGATTGGTGGCTTTCACCTGAGAGGCGAATCCTGATGCAAGTGAGCTTTGACAGACAGTCACTTTATGTGAGAGGGATTTTGTGCAAAGAACGTTTTAAACATGTAAAATATAGACCATACGATTATTACAACTTAAGAAAAAAGTCACAAGATGCGTCCTTTGATGCTTTTGTTCCATAACAACTAGAAATACTGAGTTGTTTTAAGTTTTCTCTCATGAGTTGGTGATTTTTCACCGAGTGGCCAGGATCGGACTAAAAGATGATCCGTTTCCTTTATTCTGACGCCATGGTGTGTTCAGGGTCACAGCCTACAAGAGCAGAATCTGTGTGAGAAGAACAGCTGGGAGTCGTTCGCCTTCGTCGACGAAGAAGAGGAAGAAGGAAAAGAGAAGGTGAAGCTCAGACGATTCTTTATGCCTTCGTCTTTTGGGCCTTTTTTGATGCCTGAAGCTTCACAAGTCAACTAGCAAGCTATTAAGTATCATATTAAAGCAATAATATTATTATAGAACAGTTCATACCAAGAGTTTTTATTATTTCCATGTTTATTTCGTCCGGTGGCCCCAGAGGGACAAACCTAACAGGCTCTCGTCGTGTGTTTTTGCATTAATCAGAGAAGCTAAATAAAATGATTAAAGTTACTTAATTAACTATTTAAAATCGGCAGTGCTGCAGCCAGCCCTGTGCTCCTTTATTTATGATTAACGGATGCTGTCTGCAGGAAAGTCCAGCTGAAGAGGAGAGGAACGGACCGATACCTCCTGCTAAACCTCAGGAGCCTTCATCCAACCACACCGCCGTGGCGGCGCCCGGTGAGGTACCAGGATGTTTCCGTTTGGTTCTCTAAGTGGAGCAGGCGTTGCTCATGCAGGACACGCTTTTCTGCACAGGGCGGAGTTAACGATGAAGCCTGATTAACAGTCTCATTGAGAAAGTCGGATGAAGGCATGACTGGATTTTCCCCCCCGAGTCTGATCAGGCTGGAGAATAAAGGCTTAGAAGGAATGAAAACAAGAACGTCTTAAATTATAGCTTTTCTTCTTCATTTTCTTTTACAGAAAGAATCACTGTGAGAAGTTAGTGACAAATTTCCCGCTTCTCCACCTACTGGCTGAAAGTGGATTTGCAACGGTTGCTAACAGCCCCGCTGGGCGCCAATCGCCGTTCCGCTTTTACGATCCAAGTTCGTGTTTTCTCTGCTTCGCCTGCGGAGACGTCACTCTCTCACTTTTACTTCTGCCATGATGCCAACATAGCATCACGGTTGTGCATTTTCACTGAAGCTCGGCAAAGGATAAATACCCCCCCCCCCCCCCCCCCCCAAAGTGCCTCAGATCCGTTTTTAAACAGTTCAGTTCTGCGTTTAAAACCACCAGAACAAACACGTTTGATACAGCAGTGACTGAAGGTTTGGCGTCACATTTACTTTGGGTAACCAGTTGGTGTTTATATGTGTGTGTGTGTGTGTGCACGTGCGTGCTTGTATTGCGTTGTGCCGTAAACTCTTCCTGAAATCCAACAGCACGCGGGCTCCAAGTGAAACAGTATCCAGGCAACTGCACTGGGGGCTTTCCTTGTTTCTCGCACGTTCCCCATCTTCTGTTTGCAGATTCAGGATTTTTGCTCCGGTGCCACATTTGTATAAATAACTGACTTTTACTCTCTTTGTCCTTCTTTGCTCCTGCTTTCAGAGAAAGGTCCTCTGCAGTCGGTGAGAGAAACCCTCAGAAACCTCTTCGCCTCTAAGAGCAGACGGCTGGAAAAGCAGCTGAAGGTGTGTTCGTGTCTGCACCTTTTTGTCACGTCTGATTTGTAATCTGCATATTTGGATTGACTCGGCTGCGCTGTAAGTAATGAAATGTTGAATTTCCTCAAGGAACGCTGTGTAAGAACTCTACGGTGAAATAAGTACTAAACAGTCGGACGTCTCAGACGTGTTGGACGGAAGGTCACACTGAAGCAGAGTTAGTCTGTTTTTAAAGAGGGACACAGTTACTGTTGACAGTGATTGAGTTTGTGAGGTCGGCAGGCGCGTTGCAAGCATTTCAAAAGTGTGGGGGATGTTGTCTGTGCCTAAAATAAGTTTATGTTATTCATCTTGTTGGTTTAATTTCCATAATAGCGGAGCAGGTGCGAATTTTAGACGCGTCACGCACGTCTCCGTTTTAAACATGTTTAAAGAGTTCAGAATACAAATCCAGGATCTGTCTCGTTAGATTGGTGTAACTAAAGTTTGTGCTGAATGAAACTTTACATTAACCCTTTGGTGCATGATGGTCACTACAGTGGACAGGTACTCAAAATTGTTATTTATTTGTTTTTGCTATTAAGCACAGCTGTTGAAGACTTTATTGTATTTGAGCCCCTCCATTTGGACTTCAGTAAGTCAAGCCAACATATTTCATGTTCAGAATGCACGTGGTCCACTAAGGTGGACCTGTAATAAATTATTTGTAAATTATAAAATTTTACAAAAAATATTTGTTGAAATTTGTTTCATTCACACCTAAAGATGAATGAAAAAAATTGTTAAAAAAATCATGGCTGAAGATTTCATAATTCATGCATCAAAGGGTTAAACCATGTTGAAAAGAAAAGGATCCGATTAAATCGTTTCCCCTCATTTACAGTCAGAGGTACAGCGCAGTGCGCATGGCTCTGGGGTTAATCAAGTTTAGTTGTTTCTCTTTGCAACAATCTTCACAAGAAGGCAAAACAGTTAAATGGCAGGTTACAGATATTTCCATTTGACTTTTATTTTGACGGATAAACTCAAGGATGTTGGTTGTTTTGAAAGAATTACCCCGACGCACATGGATGAGCTGACATTTTAATCGTTACGTACATCGCGGAGGTAACTAAATCAATCAAGAAATGATTCCCATCAGAAAATCAGAGCTTTATACTGGACACTGTGCTCAGCGCGGCTCGGAGCGCCCACGGTGGACAGTGAGCTGAAGATCTGTAGAGGGGTTCGCAGCGCAGCGCAGAACCACAGCGATGCGGGAAGATTTCCTCCCACTGAACCGGTCTGGAAAGCCGGTCTCTCTGAGGGATGTGTCACTTGGAAAAATGTTCTTTTTATGAAATTATGAAAGTTTGGCTGAACAGCGCTTGTTCCCGTCTCTACTATGGAGACGCATGACGCGTAGAGACATTTGATCACGCACAAAGTTTATGTGGAGCAGAAGCGGCCGGGCCACGGCAGGTGAAACGTTCCTAGCCTACATGAAGGGAAACTGTTTAATTGTAACATTAATATGTTACTGGACACGCTGGTCTGGTTGGTTAGACCAGTGTTTGAAGTGGAACACACACACACACACACACACACACACACACACACACACACACACACACACACACCAATTAAAATAATGCTGATAGCGTGGACTAGAAGACAGGTGATGGTTTATGTATTTAAATGATGATCAGGCTGCTGTAAAATGTAATCTCCATCCACATCCAGACACAATTATCCTCTATTCTGTCTCTATTTGCTCTGCTCTTGTCTGGGCTGACATAGCTGACGTAGCTGACCGCTGTGGACGTCAGCAAACGAGGCGGTCCACCATTCACTGCTGAAGAAGATGCAAAAACTTCCCTTTTCTAAAATATCTTAAGCACCTCTATCTGCTCTTGAATCTAAGACAATCAAGTCTAAATAGACCAAGGTTGCTGTCAAAACCGTGTCAAATGATTCGCCACCCTCTCGTTCTGCTCTGTTGCCCCACCAAACTGATGGCGTGCTGTAACCCGATACTGCTCAGGCCAATGGTAGGCCTGCTGAGGTTCTGATGGAGCGTGGCCAGACTGGAAGTCATTTTGCTCCAGTGACGTGTCTGTCTAGCTCAGTAGTAATAATCCTGAATAAAACAATGTTTATCATCAGCAAATGAAAGGCCACCAGGCAGCTGAGATTATAAACCGTTCTGGTCCAAAGGCTGACCCTTGTGGCACTCCAGAATGAATATCACACAGTGCTGGTGTTGTGTTGTCCATCTGAAGAACTGTGACACTTCTGTACTTTCTGAAGTAACCTTAATGATCAATAACAGTAAATGCTTTTGGTAAGTTAATAAAAAATATTTTGAGATCACGACAGAAAGAGACGACAGCGGTACTGGCTGTAATATGTTAGACCTCTAAATGGTAAAAGGCTTGTATTTGTACAGCGCCTTCTTGGGGTTCCACAGCCCCCCAAGGCGCTTCACAACACACACATTCACACACTGATGGTGATGAGCTACGATGTAGCCACAGCTGCCCTGGGGCGCACTGACAGAGGCGAGGCTGCCGAGCACAGGCGCCACCGGTCCCTCCGACCACCACCAGCAGACAAGGCGGGTTAAGCGCCTTGCTCAAGGACACGACGGCCAAAACCAGAGACGGCGTGATAATGGCGAGTATGTTTCACTTGTTTTCACAACTCCCCCCTACTGGTTACCAGCTCACTGCAGTTTACAGACGCGTCTCGTTCATTTCTGAGAACGAATGCAAAAGATGCCGCTAACAGATGCAAACGACGCGAGGCAGCCGCGATAAACACGTGCGTGCGTCGTTCGAAGCAAGTAAACTGTTGGCCGCAGGATCGAGCAGACTGCAGCAACATCTCGTTTCCGCCTTGCTCAGAAAACGTCGTTCAGAAGATTCTTCCAACATCTTCCCCTCCCTTCACCAGATCCACCTTCCTCGGGTTTTTGTCGGTGAACTTTTCAAACAACGTGTACTTTTCAAAGGCGGCGTTAGGCCCGGCTACTTGGGCTGAAGCCCCGGATGTTTCATGAAAAGCCCCGGATCTAAATGGCGGAAGTAACATGCAGTACCAAAGTCCAACAGAGAGGGAGCAGCTGGCAGTAGTTTGTATACAGCCTGCCTGAGCCTCCACCACTGAAGAAGAAGCCCTTCAGCAGCCGGCTTCTTCTACACTCTCTGCCTGAAACGCATGAGTGAAGATGGACATAAGGACGTTTTTTAGACCAAAAGTACGGCGACAGAACCCCAGCTTTGATGAGACTGGTGTTGACTCAGGTTTGTGAGTCTTATTTGAAAATATTTGTTGTGCTGCTGGTTTGCCTAAAGTTAGCTTACTATCAGGTAAAGTTGTTGGAGAAAGAAAGGGAATATTTACTATCATCTCACACTAAACACTAACAGGAACAATACTCTGTCCTGAAAATGCTGAATATGTAGCTTCAGATTAAAAATTATGTGGTACAAGACATATATATATGATGTTGACTAGTGCTTGCCACGTGTGTGTGTGTTAAGCCCCGGATCTTCCTCAGTCCTAAATCCGCCCCTGGTACTTTTTATTCAGATATGCTTCTGAAGTGGAGCTTTTTTCCTCATACGGGGAAGCTTCACAGTGGAAGGGGAGTCATTATATTCTGACTCCAAGGGAAAACGAAGGATGTCACCTGCAGACAGAAAATCTCACTCTGCTGAAGCCTGCACACCTGCAGGAGCAGAATATGATTTCAGCTCGGCTCACCGCTGCCGTTTGTGGATCGCCCGCGCTGATTATCAATTACAGTTTTTGGATTTGATCCCGCTCCTCTGTGGGGAATGTTTTTACATCAGATCAGTTTTCATTCCCCAGAATATCAAGCTGGTGCACCAAACAATGGATGAGTTCAGTCACTGAATGGTGCATTTGTTCACCTCATGAAGCACAGAGCACGAACTTTTAGATTCCCATCGGACTCGTGTAAAAGTCTGTTTATAATCATTTACGTTCACTCATAAACGAGGAAAACAGCCACCATCCTGTGTTATCGCCACCCGCTGGCATGGCCCGGCTCTAGGCCATCACACAAGAGGAAGTACAAATACTTTATTTTTGAGCAGTTTCCAACAAACACACCGTTCTGAGACTACTGTGTCCGGCTTCCTTTCTCCTTTCTGCCAAGCTCCCAGCTCCCAGCTCCACCTGACATAACCAGGAACTTACCCACGAAGGGTACAGACCTGGATGAGTCCACTCTTGTGAAAGAAATGATGCCCCGTGTTTCATTAATATGATCTTTTCTTCCTTTTTAAAAAAATCCAAAAGTTCACATAAATTAAACAATTTCATAAATCTACTTCTTTTATCTACTTCTTCAGGTCTCCTCAGGGGGTGTGCCACAGGGACCTATTCTGAGCCCCCTTTGCCTCTAGCTGGGAACGCTTTTCTGGAAGAATTGTCAGTTTTCAGGCAGATGATTGTCAGATCTATTTTCCCCTGAGGCGCGGTACAGCTGCAGCAATTCAGATCCTCCCGGCTTGCTTGGAGGAAGGGAGAGCCGAATGGCCACTTCCTGCTGGATTTGACCCATCGATGCACCAGATGTGCATTGTTTACTTGACTGTGGTGATATTTATGCCATCAATTTAAAATCGATGGTGTTAAATAAAAAAATAAATAAATAAATGTGCAGAAACAACATTTTGAAGCTTGGATCTGGTTAATAAACAGTTTTACACTTTTGACTTAATTTGCTCTTGTGTGGAAAAATCTTCAATATTTTTTTTCTTCTGAGGATATTCAGAAAGCTCGTATTTGGTCACTTTTACATAAATACACACTTTACATTGAATTGAAAATAGTTATTTTTTTCTTTTTTTATTTCCTAACCTTATCATAATTATTTTAATGTATATATATATATATATATATATATATATATATATATATATATATATATATATATATATATATATATATAATATTTGCACGTTAGTTCACTGTATTATGTTTTATGTGTCAGACAGGGGTAGGATTTAATAAGCACCAGCTTCCTCCTACTCCTTTTCTAACAGAATATGATGATTAAATTTTTGTGTGATCATCAGTGTGATTTTATTTTTAATGTCAACAATGACTTTGTTATTATTATTATTATTATTATTGTTGTTGTTGTTATTATGTTTGAAATAAAGATTTTACTCATTCATTTCATTTGTTTAAGGTGTGGAAAGTAATTCTAGGGAGGAAAAAGGGGGAAAATTTTATAAAAAAATATATAAAAAACACTATTTTATAGAATTCTTTCTTTTTGTGTTCTCAGGAGCCCCGCCCTCCTCCTCTGTCAGACACAATGACATCAGATGAGGTAAGAATGGTTGATTTTAAAATAAAGTAGCAGGTTATTTTTATAAATCTGTTAAATCATCTAATATCATATTAGTCTTAATAATCAAGCTGACTGAGTTGGTCCTTTTGGATGACATCAGAGAACTATAGACTACATTAGACTAGATCTAATAACAAATAAACACAGATATGAGTCCTGTACATTTATCTGGGCCAGTGTGAACTTTTGTTTTTAAGGCCTTAAAACAAAATAATTAGTAAAATCAAGTGAAGTTTGATTATAATGTGTAAACATGCAGAATGTTGGTTCTTTGAGCTTTTGTGTGGATTTATTTTGAAAGGTCCCGCAGAAGAAAAACTTCATTTACATGTGAAATTCTGCTTTTTGCTGCAACACATCCTCACATTTACTTAGAAATAAAACCCTGATTACATTTACACAAGTTAATTTTGACATTTATGCAAAAATCCACAACATTTATTATTTTTTAATTAATTTAAAACACTGCTTGGGTAATTTTTTTTAAAGTGAACATTAAATTTGATTATGGTCTTGTAAAATGACAACTGTGCCATCAAATCTGTATTAATGTGAAGGTTTTGGTGTGTTTAGAAATTAATCTGTTATAAGAAAGCAAGGAAAAAAAGCAGAATTTCACTTTTTAAGCTTAAAACACAAAGTTTGGATGCTTTTCTCAGACTATCGTTCCCTCGAGTCTCTTCCTGTCTGCCGCCCAGCCATTACTCTCTCTGGCAGCCTTCCCAATGTTCCCTGTAACACCAGCCTGTAATTCTCCAAGACCCCGGCCGTCACGCCGGGCGGAGGAATGTCGGTGGAGTCCACCGAGGGCCTAGAAGGTGTCAGACGTTCTAAATCTCAGAGAGAAGAGCACGACGTACGAGGACGAAGCCCGGGGCTTCAAGGTTCCTCAGAACTTCCCTCTATAATGGGAGGCTGTTACACACACACACACACACACGCACGCACGCACGCACGCACGCACACACGCACACACACACACACACACACACACACACACACACACACACGTAGGAGTTGTGCAACTGTCGTTCCGATACATTTATTCGTGTCCTCACAACGACTCATCTTGATGTTCGCCTCTGGCTGAACACACGTATGAATATAATTGTGTTTTTATTTGTTGTTGTTATTTTCTGCTGCCAGACGACTCATCTGCACGACCTTCTGTTTGTTCGTTGCTGCAGATCAGAGCGTGGGAGGAGGCGGAGATGGACCTGGCGATGGAGATGGACGAGATACGAGTTGACCCTTCACCTTTCCAGCTGGTGGAGAGAACGTCGTTACAGAAGGTGGGTGCGGAGAGGTGCCGTCTCATGAAATGCTTTTATTTTTAATAAAAAGTTTAAATGTAAACCACACAGCTGTTCAAAGCCCAGTTCAGTGGAAAATAAGTTACATCTAGTGTTAACGTGGTTCCTTGTCAGCCATTTTCTAACAAGGCTTCGAGAAATTTAAAATTAACAGAAAAAACTAATAAAAAGGTTATTAATTGAATCAGTTTAATTTCAAAAATGTGTTTAAAACGATGAATATTCAGCTAAGTTATGTAAAACGGCTCCAAAATATAAAAATAATTCAAATAAAACTATTAAACTAAGACAAACCTGTCACACCTCGCTCTGCTTTAATGCTGGCGCTCGCCTCGTCGGTGATGTCAGCGCTTCCTGACTAATGCAGATTCATTCTCTTTCTGTTAGTTGAAAGGATGAATGGCTTTTTGTTGATGCTGCTATAATAAAATCTTGAGCTGATCCAGGATCTGTGGATGTTTGCAGGATGCTGGAGCGACTAAACACCTCGTTTTATTGTTTGCTGATTGCATTTTCATGCTAACGTGCAGAATATTGTGATCATTCATGTGCAAAAGAAGCCCTGTGATTGAGACGTACGGATGCAGACAGAGAGCTGCTCCAGGGAAAATGAAAAGCAAGTTAACAGTCCAGGACTTTTCCTCTGGTGCGTTTTTGGTTGTTCCCAGAGTCTTTAGCGCGTTTGGGTTTTATCTTTGTGTCTGGACGCATCGCACAACGATGCACTTGTAAACTGAAGGTGCAGACGTGCGTTTTCGTGTCCTTCTATCAGAGCAGGCTTGTCTGAGTCACCTTGTCGCCTTGTCTCTGCAGACCCACACGCTGTTCTCGCTGCTCGGCTTGAGTCACGCCTACGTGACCAGTATCGGAAAGCTGGTGGGAGTGGTGGCTTTGAAAGAGGTGAGACTTTTTATTTCCCAACCGCAGTTTTGTCTTTAACTCCTATCAGACCGTCGTCATGGTTTCCTCTTCTGATCCTTTTGGTGGTTTTTCCCTAAACTTGGAAGTTGGATAGTAAACTGGAACGCCATGACAATCCAACATGGCTTGGACGGAATTTTCACTTTAGAAGTGGGGGGGACACGGGGGGGGGGGGGTCTTTACAGGCTTCAACACAAACGGTTGCTTTCCGCTTGGTCCTAGAGCTCAACCAGTGCCAATTTAATATAGTGTAATATTGTTTTTGGATGGTAAAAAGTACAGGGGTCAAAACTTGACTTTGGAAAAAGTGGGGGGGACATGCCCCCCCTGTCCCCCCCCCCCAAAATTACGTCCATGTGGCTGCCGCACGCGGAGATCTGCAGTAAAAAGCTGTTTTTGTTTCATAATGATGACTTAAACATGATTTAGCTAAAGCACAATACAAGATAGCTAAGACCTAATGACATGAAAGACAGGGCGGTCACGCCCACAGATCTCACGCTGAAGAGTCCCACCCCCCGCACTCACGGCGAGCTTACAGAGGATTCGTTTTTTAGTTCTGCACAAATGTTACAATAATAATTCTCTTAAATCACCTCACAACGCTTCCGGTGTGCAGATCCAGAAACCAGAGACCGTGTGCCGAACTTGTGGTTTTCAGAAAGTTTCTTTTATTTTGGTAAGTTAAGACAGGAAGCATATGTCGGGGCAGCAGTAGCTCAGCTGGTAGAGCGGGTTGCCTCATGATCGGAGGGTCATGGGGTTGATTCCAGCTCCCGCCAGGGGTTTCCTGCTGTTGTGTCCTTGGGCAAGACACTTCACCCAACTTGCCTGTGTTAGTGGTGGTCAGAGGGGCCGGCGGCGCCAAATGTCAGCCTCGCCTCTGTCGGACCTTCCCAGGGCGGCTGTGGCTACAAGTAGCTTACCATCACTAGCAGTGTGTGAATGTGAGAGTGTGTGAAAGCGTCTTTGGGTGTCTAGAAAAGTGCTTTATAAGTTCAATGCATTATTATTATTATTATTATTATATGTCAGTTATTATTATTATCCCACAGTGGTTTTTCGAGCTGCGCACCACTTCTGCTGAATGAGACCGACGATGCGTTCAATGCACCTCAAAAACCAGGTAGACTGCGAAGTAATGAGCGCCGACGGGAGACGCGCGATAGCCGCCCGTCATATCCGATGCGACCTGAATCTAGCGGTGCCGTCGCATCCCTGATACCACGAACAAACCACCGGTTCAGATCAGCAAATCTCTCCATCCCTAGTGTGGCGGAGTCGCTAATGCTGTTAGCTTCTACTGGCCGAGGCGTTCTCTGCTCTCTCCTGGACGCTAAACCAACAACCGTCTTCCCCGTCGTGAGTCCAGATGGGTGAGTCCATGAATGTTAGTGACAGGGTGACGTAGATCTGTCAGGATTTTCCATCCTAGAGCTTCACCGTCTGTTTTCTATCAGAAGCTACTGCAGGAGGTAGGTGTAGGAGACTATTTTCATGTTCAGCCTGCGTGAAACACTCAGAGTGACCGATCATTTTCAAAACTTATAAGTAACTTACGTCTAATATACTGTTCACTAATACAGCCATACATGGCATATTGTACAGAAATATGGGGTTCAACTTTTAAAACATATATATATGAAATAAAAACTATACAAAAGAAATCTATTCGAGTTATAAGCAAGAGCAATTATTATGCTCATACTGACCCGTTGTTTTTAAAATCACAGATTATGAAATTAGAAGATCTATATTATTATAAAATAATGCAATTTATGTTTAGAGTAAAATTAACGGCTCTGCCAGAAAATAAACTAATGTTTTTTGCAAAGAGGCAAAGTAAATATGATTTAAGAGGTGGATGCATGTTTGTTCTACAAAAAGCCAAAAAGGGCATGAAAAGGAGATGCATCTCTGTAATGGGAGTAAAATTTTGGAACGGGGCTAAAATAGAATTAAAATGAGCGACTTCTCTTTCAGTTCTTAAAAAAACTTATCAGTAAAAATATTTTTGAAGAGTATTTATTTGATGTTGATGGATGGATTTGTGTTTTACTTTTATTTGGGTTGTTGGTTCATTGCGGGAAATTTAAAAATTGTTTTGTAAGTAGGTTAGGCAATTCTATAAGCTAATGCTTCTGCCTGAACCTGTTCAGTCATGAGATACCAAATAGACACCCTATACAAATGAATGTATGTGTTAGTGAGAAATGGTATTTGTATCTATTTGTATGACATGTTATTGTACACATTATCTTAAGATGACTGGCTGAATAAATTGATCATTCATTCATTCATTCATAGAAAAAAGTTTTCAGTTAAGTTCCTCTTTAACCCACCTAATAACGTTCTCTTACTGAACCTTCACCTCCTTTATTTCTTCTCTTCTTTCCCCCCCACCACCCCCACTCCCCGCCACCTCCCAATAAAAAAGCTCCAAAAGGCCATCGAAGGCTCCACCCACTCCGGCGTGCGGCTCCGACCTCCTCTGGCGAGTTTTCGTGACGTCAGCAAACACAAGTCTGTCCCTAAACTGACGCCTCCTTCCACTGCTCCTTCTTCTCAATCCTCCACCTCCTCTCCGTCACCTCAAAGTTTCCCATCGGCTCCTCCTTCCCCGGCCCCGGAGCAGATCCGCCACCGCACCCATCCCCACCCTAACCAGGAGCAGGAGACAGAGGTGTGGATCGAGGGTGGGACGGGGGACACGGAGGCGAGCAGCTCCAACAGCGACCTCGCCCTCCCTCCGTCCTCCACTCCTCCCAGCGCTCCACCTCCTTCTTCTCCTTCCACTCCCATCCCTCTCTCCACCCTGAGACCCTCGCAGAGACTCCAGAATGCGGAGGACAGCGATGATGAGCCAGTGGTTTAGACTGGAAAACTGTTTTATACTCATGTACCTCATTTTAGTCTCTAACTCTGTCAGGACACTTAAAATGCCTAAAAGCAAACCGGTCTTGGTCGTTTTACTGTAAACCTGTTCTTCCTCGTTTCTAGCTCACTGGGTAGATGGAGGCAGTACTTTTATTTTCTGCTGCAAAGAAGAAAAATGCACGATGAAATTGGTGAAATTTCGACACGACTAAACCACTTCTTCATTCAGAAGATGCGTAAAGTCTCGATGTCTGTGAAGGTTCTCAGTCATCCAGGTCATTGTAGTCTAAGGAGCTTTGAAAGAAAAGCGTCTGGACTTCTTTGAGTTGCTTGAAGACGTTTCACCTGTCATCCGAGAGGCTTCTTCAGGTCTGAGGTCAAATGGTGGAGAGTCCCAGATTTAAACCCAGTGGGAGTTTCCCCCCGAAGAGGAACAAAAGACCCCCTGATGATCTTCTATGAGCCAAGGCGTGAGGGTGGGTGTGGGTCCTATTCAGCCAGAGTTTCGGGTGAGCTCATTGTGAAGCCTGGCCCCACCCTATCATGTGAATTCCTGAGGTCAGATGGCCCAGGATGTGCGTGGGCGTTGAGGCATCTGGGAAGGGATCTCAAAACTGGATTATCGATGGCAGACAGTTGGTGTCATAAACCACCGCCTCTGTTCAAAGATGGTTGCTCACAGTGGACATAAATGGCTTCCTTTACTCCTCTTTCCCTCTCTCCTCCCACTGGGTTTAAATCTGGGACTCTCCACCATTTGACCTCAGACCTGAAGAAGCCTCTCGGATGAGAGGTGAAACGTCTTCAAGCAACTCAAAGAAGTCCAGACGCGTTTCTTTCAAGCTCCTTAGACTTAAAGTCCCGATGATCTTTTTCCTTGCAGCGTTTGAAATCATTCGTTCTTGCTGCAGAAACGAGACGTGCACGCTCCTGCTCTTCCTTCCTCCATCGTTCGTGTCTTACAAAATGTCTTTTTAAACGGAACTAGAGCAGCAGCCATCGATTTAGCTTCCTGTCTGGCAGCCGAGCGTCTGAGCAGCCCCGCTGTAATAAAGCTGCTCGGTCCTGGCCGAAGCTCAACAGCAACAACCTCTAAACCGCGCCGACCTTGTGGCTGCAGCCTCAGAACTCATCTCATCACCGTTAGCTTGATGAATGAAGCAGCTAAAAGCAGATGACGCACCAAACTCCCCTTCACATTGATTTGTTTCGCTAAAACAACGACGCTGCTCAGAGTGACTCAGCCTCAGACAGAATCATAACGTTCGCTTCTGCACAAATCAAGCGTCCGCCGCAGCGTCGCCAGGATGATGGCGAATGTTTCTGACGGGGATTAACAGGTGACAGTCTGTTGTGTGACGTCCGCACGAAGAACAGCAGCGACTGTTGATGCGTGGAAACCGTTTGCGTCTCTGCCGTCGCCGCTTCAGACTTGCTTTTTACACAAGGGGTCAAAGAGGCGGATCTAGAAGTTTTTAACACGATGAATCATCTATGATGGAGAACTCTATAAGCTTTAACAGCAAGACATCCTGCGTTCGCATCTCATGACCTTTGACCCCTGGATGATCTTTGAAAAAAGTTTTGATGTGACTATCTGACCCTGTCATTCTTTCTACAGCCAAGATTTGTCTGTCGGATTGACCGTAAGAACGGGAAATCACAAAGTTTATTTGTCACATAATGAGATTTTTTCTCAATACAAAATTGGGATTTTGTGTTCAGACGTAACGAACGACGTCATTTAATCTGCAGAGCTGCTTTATTATTAACTCGTGGAGTCAGTTTCTCAGGTTCTGCCTTCTAAGTCTTTAAACTTTTCTACTAAATTTATACCTAAAATAGTTCAGTTTTGTGTTTTATTTATTGATTTATTTACATATTTATTTGTCTGTCAGTAGATTCCTCTAATTTTCTTCAAACATTTATAAAACTGTGAAGCAAAACGAACTTGTAAGTGGCGTTAAGTGTGTGAAATGTAATCAGAATCTAGAAAGACCCTGTTTATTATTATTATTATTATTATTATTATTATTAAAAGAGAATATGTGTAGTTTTTACCATTAATCTCTGGAAATAGTCATTGAAATGTTGTTGAAAATGAATTAAATGATGCCCGGGGGCGGGTCTAAGTCTCTGGGCGACGCTATATTAGATATCATGTTTCTTTCTACAGGAGCCCGTGAGGAGAAAACATACCGTAAATCCTCTAATACAGGCCCGGGCCTGTATTTGACTCAAGCTCATCAAGCTCCAGGCCTTTATTGGAAGGAGGGCCAGTATTAGAGGCAGGCCTCTATTTCTATTTGAGCAAAATGAACTAATGGTTCGCTGGAGTTCTTGACAATTAAAATTGCGCCCACATTTTCAAAGTTAAACACATTTCTTTTAACAACGGTAGTTTCTGCTTCAGCCCTCTCCCCCCTCCCCCTGCGCAGCGGCCGCAAACTCACTGATGCGCCTGCAGCCTCTCGGAGTTCCTGCTGCTCTAAACATTAAAATAATTATTTCATTTTCTGTTCCTCACTTCTGATGACCTTCAGTGGTGTCTGTTTGTTGCAACCACCAGGTACAAAAACTAACTTGTTTTTATTTGACTATTTTTCTGTCCTGCCTGTTTATTATCTTCCTGCATCTCCTCTCAATCCTAAAGAAAAACTGCTGCCTGGGTCCATATATATTCACCTCATGAGTTACCTTTGAACTGCAGTTCTTAAAGATCTACCGACCGCAAAAACAGCAGAGTGCCGCTGCTCGCCGGCCACAGGAGGCAACGCGCTGTGCCAGAGCGTCGGTACTGACACCCGCCGTAAAACGGACATTTAACCAAATTGTGACGTTTACCCTCTTGCAATTTAACCTTCCCCTCACCCCATCCTAACCTTAACCAGTTTGCACATGCAAAGCTCTGATCGTTGACGCGCTCCAGACATCTGCGTCCTGAGCACGGCCACAGTAACGTTATCAAATTAGGTGTCGCCACCTCAAAAACTAATTTAACACGCGATCGTTCATGTCGGCTCATTTCCTTTAATGTTTTTGTTTTTTTTATTCTTTTATTAGTGCCTGATGCGTTTCGCTGCTGTGGAGCGGGGCGCATCACCTGTCACCTGCTGACAGCAGGCTGCTGTCTTTGCCGTGGACTGCATCTTGCCGGTCATTATCACGTGACAGCGACTAGTCGATGACAGGCATAACAAGTCACTATAGAGCGCTGAAGTCGACTAGTGACTAGTTCATACAACCCCTACTGCTCCCCAGAGTGTTCTGCAGCATAATCAGCACGTTCTCTTTGAACTTGATATCAAATTTTCGCCTCCTCTTCGTCTCCGCACGGTTAAAGTTACCCTCGCGGTCTATCACTGGCAAATCAAAAGTGAGACGGATGACACAACCCCCCTGTGGTACTTGCTTGTTACCACATTCCACCCGGCCACAATAAAAAACAGGCCATTATTCACCTCCGCCGACTCCGACACCGGCCAAAATATGATACCCGGCAGTTAATTAAATACAGGCTAATATTAGAGGATTTATGGTATTCACTGATTTGTGACGAACGGCTACCAGGGTTTCCCCCATAAAATGAGTTAAGCCTGGTGGATTTGGCCGTGGGGGGTGGGGGGTGGGGGGCCGCGTGAGTTTGGTCCGCATAGCCGGTAGTGCAGAAACGAACGTTATGATTCTATCTGGGGGCGTCTCGCAGCGCTCCTCCGTGAGAGCGGGGGTGGGGTTGGGGTGGTTGCACAGCTGCTGTTTCTCACCAGTATCAGCTGATGGAGGGCTCTAGTTTTGTTGCGCCGTTCATGTCAGCGGACAGGGTAGGGTCGGGGAGGGGGGCGGGGCATGACGCTTATGAAGCGCTGGGGGAAACCCTGGGTTACATAACTTACTTCAGTCATAAATGTTGTATATTACACAATTACCTCGCCACTCG